GTATTGACAGATTTAGCAGGCATGTCATTGAATTAAGTTGATGTTTCCTTATGTTGAGGTACATCATAATAATGCATCCAAATTCCAGTGGCCATAATGGTTCTTCATTGTCCATGAATAATCTGTACCAATATAGACCTAACAATCTTGTGCTATTAATTGTTTGTTATAGAAATTTATCAAGTCTTAGTATTGGTTCAAGCCATAAATTTCCATGAACAATAATTAGAACAAATGTAAATTCATTATTGGCTGTGCACATCCACTCTTAAAAATGTAGAACCCTAAATGTTTAACATCTATTTGATGCATGCAATATATCATGCAGTCAGATCCAGGTTCGATATACCTACTTATTTAAAATTTATCTACCTATTCTACTCGATCTTTTTTGTTGTGGTGCTAAAACAATGCATATGAATGTATTCATTAAATGTATGGTCTATTTGACTGGATGTATTTTGATAATGATATCTGTTTGAAACATACAGGAAACTGCAACTGATAGTATATATATTGCTCCCTACAATTTTTGTGTGACTTCATGACTTTACAGAAACAAGTGTTTATGTAGCACATACTGGATAATCCTATGACTCATGCTATTTAGTGATAATATAAGTGCTAGTTAGTGATAATATTAATTTAGCTTATCTGTTTTTCAGCAGTCTACAAATAATGGGGGTTTTATGAATTCCAAGAATCCATTCCTCTGATTTGGACTACATGAAAACATAAGAACTAAGTGAGATGTCAAAGAACAAACTACGTAACAAAAAGCACAAACCAAGCTACAAATTTTTTATGTTATTGAACAATTGTATAGTAGTTGAATAATTTATTAATGTTATGCCATAGTGGAGATACAGTAACACTTCATGATTACACTGAGTAATCAGATTTCATGTATTGAAATTTTTACAAAATGTGTAATGCATAGGTCTGGATGTTATTGCATTAGCAGTCCATAGCTACCATCATGCAGCACGCTTGTTATGGTTGTAAAATTGAGTGCCTCAATATGCCTTAAATTTTTTTATATGTATATTTACAATGAATTATTCAAACTAGAAAATGAAAGTATTGCGATTATCTGGATAGAAATGTTAAAAATATGAACAAATTGTGTATAAATATTAAATATTGGTGAAGACTCTGGTTTTAGCTTTATCCTAAATTATTTAGATAGTATTGTATTTGATATGACCAGTAAATGACGAAGCTATTTACGTACATTAATATTAGTATTGCGAAATTGAAGGCACAGGTAACATAGAATGTATTTGTAATCAGGTGCCTTGTGTGAGTAAGTTATGTTCAGTGAGTCAGCCAGGGGCCGAATGGCGTCGTCCAATGATGTCATAAAGGTTACTGGCCTTATTTGATAGTTTGGAATTGTATGGAATGGTACAAAATTTAACTATAAAATATGTAAGATATAAGATTATTGAGTATTTTAATGAGTTGGAGACCACATTTTGGTAAAAATATATTTATTGTCCAGGTATGAATTGCTCACTATCGTAATATTAAATGGATGAATCAATGAACTTCTGATAAAATCTACCACTTTACTTAGTAATGAGTTGTTGACTTTTTGTAATTTCCCCACACGAAAATGAAGTTATTTTTAATGTTATTTAATATTTTAACATTTTGCGCTTGACAAAAATTGTACTGATAATAATTTTCTTAGTCAGGGTTAATGTTTATAATATACTCTTGTTTTGGAAGGAAATCAGTTGCAAATGTAGTTATAGTTAGCCAGTTAGAAATTGAGCTCTCAAATTATGCGCTTCATCTGTGATTGTAATCAGTTTTATTTTTATTTGCAAGGAGCTAACTTGAACAATTTTTTTCTAATCAATGCACTTTCCTATTTATTTAGTTCATAATATAATTGTTTTTTACTATTTGAGCACTAAGATCTGTTAATTTGTATAAATAAAATAATCACTATTATTTTTTATAAACCTTGTTTTTTTTTACTTTACTATTCTGTACTAATGTGGCACATTATTTCCATAAATATTTATCAAATAAAATAAAAAGACTAATAAAAAACTTGTGGATTCTTGAATGAGTTCTAATTTATTACATAATATTATATTTATACATACAAGTGACATTGATAATATACTTAAATTATAACAGTCAGTCTCTTCACATTTTACATTTTTTTGAAATTGTTTGTCACATTTTGTATTTACTGCTTTTTCGTGCAAATACAGGTGTAGAGAAGTTGTCGGGTGTTACATTAGGGCTCGGTAATGGTGTTTTAGGAGTTTCATGTGATAATGATACTGTCGACGCATTCTTTATAGCATCCGGTAAGTCCTCAGGTAAATTCGTCGGTTGTGAGGTTGTTGCAGATGATCTTTTTTCCGATATTGTTTTAAGAATGTTTTTACCAGCTTCTTTAGTCTGTAAATATAGCATTATGTTAAATGTCTTATTTTATAATTTGATGACATCAATTTTATTCACAGAACCTAATATTTATATTGAGGAAATAAAAATATCAACTTACACTTTCATGTTCCAAGCATTTGTAAGCATAATGGGCAGCATGGTCAAGCAACGAAAATCTAAGATAGTACTGTGCTAAATAACGCTGTGCCGCTGGTAATTCCTTACTGCCTGCATTGGCGGGGTCTTGACAAGCAGCCGTATAGGCCGCCGCCGCACTATTTGGCATATTAGACTTTTCATACAACCTGAAACAAAGTTTTAAATAGCAATATTTGATGTAAGTTAAATAAATCATCATTGATCAGTGTTATCAATGATGTAACATTGCATTGAAATAATTTAGGTAATACTGTAGATTTTTTAATAATACAAAATTTTTGACAGTAACTTACTTAGCTAGTTTAAATAGGGCCATGCCTTCAATATCACCGGTGCTGTGAGCTTTGTAGTAACATTTCAGTGCATTAGGGATTTTATCCATTTTCTCATATGCTTCTCCGAGGGACACCAACATTCTCGAATCATCGGGTTTTAGCTGTGCAGCTCTTGAATAGTAATATATACAGTAACCATTGAGTCCTAAGATTTCATAAGCTTGTCCAAGGCCATTCCATGCTCGGTAATCATTCCTGTTTACATCTGAAAATAATTTCATTATGTTGTACTAAGGGATATGGGAATTTTTAGGATTTGAGCAATGTGTTATGGAATAAAGAGGTCATTTACCTATAGCTTGTCTGTAACACTGTATTGCAGCATTTGAATTTTGTAGTTCAATAAATTCATGCCCCATGAGGATCCATGCAGATAGATACTGAGGATCTAATGAGAGTGCCCTTTGGAAGTATATTACAGCTTTCTGATGTTCACTTCTTAAACTATAATAGTTCCCTGAAAGCACACATCACTTTTGTTATTCACAAAATTCATTATTTTAATTTTGTTGCATAACAATCAATACAACTTACCAATAACACAACATGTCTCAACTCTGTATTTATCTATAGAAACAGCTCTCTGAGCCAAGTTTGCAAGTTCCATTCTCTTTTCTTTGAGATAAAGAAGATGAGAATATACATCCCAGTTGTCCAATCTATATGGATCATTTTGATACAACTCACGGAACAATGCCAGCGATGAATCTACATCTAAAATAATAATGTTAATGTATTAATTGCTCACTGTATATTATTTAACACTATTATTAAATTCATCAAATGAATTTAAAATTACCTCTTCTATCATGGTGGGCAATAGCCATTTGAGCAGTGACATAAGTACTCTTTTCAAACCCTGCTGCAACCAATACCATGTAGGCTTCCAAAGCTTGTTCTGATAATTTCAATTCAACAAAAGCATGTGCAGCAAAGAAATACATCATCCAATGCTGAGGGAGTTGGAATGAATCTAATGCTTCATACTCATTGGCTAAACCTGCAAGCTCCACCCAGGCAGACCACAGGGTGGGAGCCGCTGCCACTGCAGCCTGCAACACTGTCACTGCTTGACTTCTCAAGTCAAGTTTTTTCAGAACCACACCCTCTAAGTACAACAGATATCCATCTAGATTGTTTCGGTTTGCCTGGAAAATTAAATTGAAAATACTATTCAATAACATTGGATTATAAAACTTTTAGTTACATTTGACTGTTTCAGATACTAAAGTATGGTCTATTAATATTATCATTTTATTCATTTATAGTGATACTTACTTTAAAATATGAGAGTAAATCCAATAAAACTTGTGTTGACTCTGTATTTTCTGTGCCCAGATCTGTAGCATTGTCCAATCGTTTTTTCTCACTTGACATATATTGTGAATATTTATGGAGAAAAACACATTTAGAACTCAAACAGTTTTCTAAAAAATGTGCAGCCCTGTCGTATTCTTGACAGTCGAAATAAGTTTTAGCCAAGGTGTAAGCTTCTCTTTCTTCTGATGAAATATCATCGTCCTGAGTGGTTGGAGGATGTTCATACGTTATTTTGTGATCCCTCAAAGAGTAATTTAACTCGGCTAGCCATTTCGTAGTTTGTGTAAGTCCACGATCTGTGCATTCACGGATGCCATGTAGTATATCGATCCTTACTTGGTTTATATCAATTTTAATGTCACCCTTAGAATTAAGTGATAACGGCTGCATGTTATTGTAATTCAATGACATAGCATTAAGTGTACATGCAGTTTATTTTTCAGAATATAAATCCAAGAACCTCGCAAACGTTTTTTAAAAACGGCAAATCCGAAGTGACAATAGTTAAATTTGACATTTGACTTTGACGTAGCGTAGAACTGTACTGTAGAAGAATAGAAAATCTCCTTGTCTATAGAATGTTGTTTTCCAGGTTCGGAAAAAAATGTATTTTAACAATGTGTTGTCTCCTACTATCCTTTTCATTCTATTGTAAAAGGAAAGAAACACAAATATATAAAAAACGCGCTATTCCCATTTACTGAAACTCAAGCAAGGAAATTGCATCGCATATTTCCGTGTCATGTCGTATCGTACCTACTGTCATTTTGTTTTGTCAATCAATTCTCCAGGCAATGTTTTAGATTAACATAGAAGTTGAGTTGAATTTAATATTTATGTTACACTGAAGTCTTGAGTCGATTTTATTCAGTTATTGCTAGGATTCCGAAGTGTAAACACTCCTGTGTGGAGAGTATAGTATTCCGAGGAAACCAAACGTAAACTAAGTATCGATTTGAAAACAATACTGCTTTTCGCTTGTAATTAAAAGAAAAATATTCAAGCAATGGCAGAACAAAACACAGAAACAACAACAACTGACGTGGAGAACACCTACACGGCTCCGGGCAATGATCCAAAAAACATGCAGGAGGTGACACAATATGTAAGTTTACACTTTTGCACTACCTTTGATTAATGTTTTGGAAGTTTACCTATTGAATCAACGTAATTAATAACACATTAGGTTGAATTTATTACGTAATTTCGATACTATATTCAATCCGTACTTAATTATTATTGTATATTGAATTTTAAATTTCTACATTGGGGGTTAATTTGGTAGTCTGGCTGGATTCAATAGTAACTGCAATACTCTTGTGTAACGTTTTTAATTTCACCATCATTTCAGTCATGCTACATCCAGTAGTCATTAACAGTAGCCCATAAAATAATCCATTTTAATTGGAATATTCATGATATATAATCCATTTTAGCAATGATTTTTTAGCTCAAAACATTATTGGGTTGAATAGTTCTTATGCATGAGTGCAGCTTCGGGCATGAATTGTATGTAAATTATAATGAGGTGCTTTAGGATATAGCTTTTGTAGGCTGACTTCACAGAGTCCAGAAAAAAGTTGCCTCCTTAAGAAAATTTGAATTTAAACTAAATATTATTTTTTACAGGTTCAGTCACTCCTACAAAATATGCAAGACAAATTCCAGAGTATGTCAGATCAGATCATTAACCGGATAGATGAGATGGGGACTCGTGTTGATGAATTGGAGAAGAATATAACAGATCTTATGACACAAGCTGGTGTTGAAAATGAGAAGTAGTACCTAATAAACCTAGCAGTGATCCTAGATGTAACAATCACACCACATTGTTTTGTGCCTGAATCATGTCATTTTTACCATTTAGCGTCAAAGTAAATACATTAAAACAAAAACAAAGATTGAATAGGTGATATCACTCCATAGGGGCTGAATGATTGTGTGGCTCATGTATTATAATAATAGTAATATTGTTATATAAGCCCATCCTTTATAAATAGATAAGATAATATTATTTAAACATAAGTAAAAAGGCAGGGGAAGGGCCATAGCCAATTTGCAATTTTACTCCATCTTAACTCATTGAGTACCGTCATTATAGACACAATTAAAGAACAATAGGTTGCGGTCACTGGTGACCGCTCGGTGTTTGCCAGTTTAAAGGGCAATATATTCATAAAATTACATGAAGTGTAACACCAATGAATAATTTTTAATATGAACGGTTAAGTGAATATTGTTTGTATTAATACATTTGTAACACAAAAATCCAGTGTTTCATTGTGATAGAATTGGATATATTTTAATTTTAAAAACCACTTAGACTAATACATGAGTGAAAGAAATCCAATAGTGGTATGCACCCATTATGGTACCATAATTACTACTTTTAGACTGGATAATTTACACAATAGACATAATATATCAGGTGGTATATTCAAGCCTTTAGTGCATGTAATGTAAGAGTAAAACAGTACCATATAATAGAGGTAAATGGCATGAGGTTTGTGGAATTGTTCAAAACATTGGCATATACTGAATGATTAAGATATCTGAAGTGTTCCTTTCTTATTATACATAGTACGCTAGTAGTTTTCTAATAGATGGGAAGTGGATACCTAAAGGCAAAGCAATATGGAGTGATCAGATAATTGGGTTATTGTAAGATTCTAGCATTTTACTAAGCACAGTGAATGTACTATAGTATCTGTGTTTGCGCAACTATTTGTATGATTGTTTATTTTGTAATTAAATTGTGTTATATTATAAACTTGATGTTTTTGTTACTAGGATAAACAAGGGGTTAGTATGTAGAGTGTGAATATTGATCAGGACGGTGCCTGCCGCATAATGGTACGACATAGACAACACGATCGCGTGTACATTACCTACTAAAGGAAACCATTATGTAAAGGCATCGTAATTCCACTTACGCTTGTGTGTTCCTTTGAGCCGTTTGATAAAAGAAAACTATGTTTATGGCTTGAATTTAGCTTACGGTTCGAAAGTTAATTCAAATTCACACGACAATTGCTTTAGTCTCCGGGCTAGCGAAGTTATTTTAAGGGGTGAATTTACTTAATACTTGCAGTGATTCAGACATTTTACAACAAACTGGATATTATTCATTATGTGTGGATGTAGTTAAGCTGTATCTTTTCGCCTCTGTAATACGTGTAATCAGTCCTGCATGAAGTGCAAACGTGTCCTTACTGCCTATAGGCATGATAAATTCTTATGCTCAAGAAATGAATAAATATGTACAAAATAGAATGTTTAAAATATTTATAACATTATTAAGTTACCTACTTAGTAAAAATATAGTTTAACAGCAAGACTTGTTTAATATTTGCAGTTCATTGGTGAACACCAAAGGTTGAATTATATTCTAAATAAAACAAAACATCATTAAATATTCAGACAGTGTATTATTTTATTTTTCACGTTATACCTATGTAGGTGCCTACTTGATATAGGTAGGTAACTTAAACTACTAGGAATCTACCAATCAGGTACAAAACGAACACAATAAAATCAACGTGATTCAGTCTCCTCCGAAGAATCTTCATCGGTTTCCTCAGATTCCTGCAAAAAGAAAAATGATTTAACACAACGAAATTCTAAAAAAAATAAAATAATAACGACATTACCGATGTCTCCTCCTCCTCTTTGTTAGCTGAATTATTCATGAGTGCTGCAAGTGAGCCAGTTCTAACCAGCCCCGGATTACCATACTTTTCGGGCGATTTCGCCTTTCGTGCACTCTGTAAATAGGGGCAAATTGAAACAAGTAGGTAGATACATATATTGAAAAAAATAATCAAAACATAAACATAACATCACGCCTTTTATCCCCGAAGGGGTAGGCAGAGGTGCACACAGAAGTAACACCCACTTTTCACTATTGATGTTATGAGTCCCATGTAAGGTGAGGTGAGGTGAGGGTGAGCCTATTGCCATATACCGGGCACATTTCCAGACTCCGTGCTACTACTGAGAATTTTTTTTTAAAAACCCATTAATACTTTGCCCGACCCGGGAATCGAACCCGAGACCCCTTGCCCGGCAGTCGCACTCGCGACCACTCGGACAACGAGGCAGGCAAAAAAATAATCATTACCTACCCAATGCCTAATAAAAACATCATAGTCTCACCGGCAATCACAGTCTCCGTTGCATGTGAGTACTTAATAAGTCCTATGTACCTATGTATAGTCTCTGCCTATTGCCATAATGGATTAAAAAATTGTTTAGATATCTACTTATATACCCAATATTATTTTATCCAACCCGTGAATCGTACCTGACGTAACTTGGGACGAGGTGCTAGGTAGGTACCAATCGCCTTATGGAGCTAGTGAGGCTTTACGCGAAGTAAATATTCGACTATACTCAATTACTCAGCCAATAGCTAGGTTTCTAAGTTTAAGTAGGTATAGTCTACACATTTACGGGCCTACCTACTTAGAAGTATATTGTATGCAGGTACCTATTTAATTTATCCTATTTGAATCTCAAATTCTAGTGAGTAGATATCGATACCTGCAAAAATAAATACTAACCGCAGAGTCGTCGTCATTAGTAGGAGAGTGTGGGTTCATGAGTGATGCGAGAGACGAAGATCTAACTGACATTCCAGGATTGGGTTGTTTCTCTGGTGAGCGGAGTTTTCTTCTAAAGTTCTGTGTAGGTTTAAGTTTAAGTAAGTACATTTAATTGACAGTAATATGAGTGAGTAGATACATAAGTATACCGTGAAGGTACCGTAAATCATTAAAGAATATTATTGAATTTATGAATAGGTGGGTATTTACCGTTTGATCCTCGTTATCTGAAAGACCTGTATTCAAACGCTTCACACAGAAAAAGTAATTATTAGAAAATTATCTAACAAAAGTAAGCAAATCTCTACGTCCCATGGTACGTAAGATTTAGTCGTTTCGTTTATTCAAGAGCTTAATTACCTCTAGGTCAGCTTTATCGTTGATGTCACTGATCTGTTGATAAGCAACAGTAAGTAGCTCCACTGCCTTCGCGTGGAAATTCATTTCAATCATGACAAAGTTTGACAGAAGTGTCTTCAGTTGCTGTAGTTTCCGGCGCTCGAAGAACTCAGTCTGCTCACTCAAACCCTTAGCCGTACGAGACATTTCCGCAGAAGCCTTAAGAAGTTCAGATTCTGCATATGTCTATAATTGAACGATCTACATTTTAATAAAGCACCTAATGAAGGATTTTTATAATAAGTCACCAAACATTGGATCAGGAACTAAGTAAAGTAGTAAAGGAGGTAGGTATGTTTTTATAATAACTATTGTGAGACATACTAAATTACATAAAATCGCGGGTTACTCACGTGAATATACTGAGTGAGCTGCACGACGTCGCCGCGACCACGCACGCTGCTCATGAGGAAGAACCCCTTTGTGGTTCGAAACTAGTAGAGCTTTTCTCAATATATTCACGCGAGTAACCCGCGACTTTAATTAATTAAGTAGGTAGGTACCTACTTATGTACCTACTTACATAGATAGTATAAGTTATAATTTAAAAAATATTTTGTAGGTGGTATATCTATCTACAATCATACTTACATTACATACGTAGGTATAATACATATAAGATAAGTAGGCATTAAATAAAAGGTACTTAGGTAAATAAAATTAGGTACCAAAATAATTTGACATTAATAATTAAAGTATGGTGGGTGCTTAAACTGGCTAAACTCTATAAAACCACACTTCATGTTTTAATTATTATGCTGTACAGTAAACATAAAGTACGCACGCACCATACTTGGGATGATACTTTTTGTGGTTTTATTTAGCCTGAACCCCAGACCCTACGATTCTGTGCCCTGGCACGGGTGGTACCGTACTATTTACGGCACTGTATTTATCTATTTGCTTATTATACGGTAGGGTAGGTAACCAAATCGGCGTAGCGATTGGATTGCTGCGGTTAACCGCACATAAGTACCTATCTCAAGTTCAAAGTCGACATAATATACCCAATATACCTAAACAATAAGCTAAATTAATTAGTTGCTATTAAACTGTCAAACACCAAGCGGTCACCGGTGACCGCAACCTATTGTTCTATAATTGTGTCTACAAAACCGGTAGTCGACGAGTTAATACAGGGGTTAACTTACAACTTGCTGTCTGTTAAACGGCTGCCTCTCCCTAGCTTTGTCTAGGACTTTCTTGCGAGCAAGCTCCTTTTCGCGGACGTTCATTGTATGCTTTAGCTCTTCCCTGGCATGTTTACAAATGGTTTCGTATTGGCACAGCTCTCCAATCACCTAAATATTTTTTAAGTTTTAAACTTAAGCATAAGTAGGTAGGATAGCATAGGCAGGCCTACCTATGCTTATCTTTGAGCTAGGACTAGGTACTTCCATGCCTCCATAAAGTTAAATTAGGTAACGACACAACGACACTTCTAGTAAAAGCGTAATAATCAACTTGAACTAAGTACCTACCTACTTTTTTCATTGCTGAGTTACCGTAGTCCGCATCATCGTTTACCACCAGGCGAGATAGTGGTCAAACGTCGGCCCATCAAATATAAAAAAAGCAAAGTAGGATCTTTTCGATTGGTGTATTTTTCTAGCCTCGTAGGTATTCTCGAGAACCTAAGGTTCTAGAGCGAGTTTCTAGAGCGCTCCTAAAATAATTCTTGCCCACGAAGGCATGAAGCAATACAAGTAGGCACCTATAAAACATCTTTAAGTGACATTGCTTTCACATTATTTTTCAGTGTTTCTTTTCTGAAGAAACAGTATAATATTAACTCTTAAATAATTTTATAGTAGCCAACCGTAGTTGTTTTATTCTCACACTTTTATATAGGTCTATAGGCACAATATTAGTTGTTATGTTTTGTTCAATTTACCTTAGCTTCTAGACGCTGTACTTCGCAATTTCTGTACTCTTCAATAGCTGTTAATGTAGTTGAAAGATTTTCTAAGCCGTTGCTTAAAGATTTATTTACGATCTCATTGTTGGCGTAATCCTTAAGAACTTTAACTAGCTCATCGCCCATATCACGTAATCTGTTAGTTTAAGACAATATGATTAATGTTGGTAGATAGATAGGTATGTGTCTAGTCGCGGAGAACCTAACGGGTAACCGGGGCCCCGGCTCGACGTGCAGGAGAAGGAACGGGGTGGTTTTTAGTCAGTAAGAGTCTGACACTCCCTCCCGCCTCACCCAGGCGGGAGCAGTCATTCGATGATTTTCCCACCTTAAAAAAAAAAAGGTATGTGTCTATATTGTGCTTGTATGATTGTAATTTGTATCATACCCCTCCTCTTATTCTCCGAAGGGTAAAGGTATCCCATGTAATTACTTCTACTCTTTATACGTTAATATCAAATATTTAAGTAGGTATATGGTCACTACCAAATCCCAATCACAACTCACTTATTTGTAATAACTTATAATTAACAAAGTTTTTACTCGCCTGGCTGTTTTTCTAGTATAATCACCAAATGCAACACAAAGTTCTCCAAAGTTTTTTTCCACACTAGTAATGCGATCTTGAATGAATTTGGCTTGCTGTTCATAACTTAGTGAATGTGGGTTATCACCTCTAAACATGTTGAAAATAATTCAAAAATCTGTATTAGATATATAGATTGTATCCCGTTAGTATCCTACGATTTGTAGTTAATTTAGTAAGTACGTCTCACAATAGTTAATAGAAATACAATCTAAGATTCAGTGATGAAAATATTATTATGAAGTTTATTTGTTTACTATTTGGTTGCCATGGTAATAAAGCGGATGCAAACTGCAATAAACGTGCAGTGTTCGTGGCTTTGTGTCCCGTGTGCAATCAATACTATACTCAGACAACCTTTTCCCATTTTGTAAATAATAGAAATAGATCCTACTATAAAAGTCTGGTCGCCTCATAGATGTAATAGGTAGTATAATATAGATTAATGGTTCGCCAGGATTATTTTTAACTGCCTCATTTTTTAGTGCGAGTGATTTTCGACACGCTTTCCTTCGAGGGTCAAGTCTAAATGCACATTTCCCGTATACTTATTACAGTCTTAGGTGCACATTAAACCTAGCGTTCGGGTGCTTGGTCCTCTTCTTACACTACTTGATAATAGTTTCTACAGCTGGAATTAAAAAGGCGAAAGTTTCTAATCTGTAAAATAAAGGGCAGCTTTATCTCTGGCTACTTATTTTTCAGATTTGCAATGGTTCTTTTACTAATAAACTAAAATTAGAATCCTGACAATGCACCATAATAAATAATCAAATTAATTTGATAAAGTTATTTCGCAGGTATACATAATGGGCAAGTATAATTGCGACATATTATAAAGTTATGAGCATACATTGAATATGCAATAAGCTATAAATTACACAAAACACAGCATTCTTGCATCTTCACAAGATTATTTTTCTGATACTTCATTTGGTTTTTTCATCGGTCATTTATCTGTTATCGGTCATTTATCGGTTTTTTATCTGTTTTACGTATTTAATCCAAAACGCGCATCTCTATATACCATCGACAATATTTATGCTAAATGTACTATAGTTTCCTGCCTTGGAATGCCTCGGTTGTGTGACGTATTTTGATTGACAGTTTGAACCTAGTGTCAAGTATGTTTCTGTCATCAATACTGAAATTGCCAAACCACAACAGCTGTTTGTTTTTTGTGTTTGTTTCCTTGTGATCTCGTCAATTTAATACAGAAATGAATGAAGAAATAGATGAGTACGATATTTACCATCAGGATTTTACAACAGCATCAGAATGGGAAATATTCATTGCTCGTATAGAGGAGATAATAAAAGATTGGAAATTGTCGAAATCTTTTTTATCTAAATTATCAGGAGGGTATACAAAGAAATGGATTGGAAAATCAGAGGAAATACAGTTTCAGGGCAACAAATACATATTATCTTATCATACGCTGGAAACGGCCAAATCTGGAGAAAGTTCTGTAGAAACAAAGGATAAGTCTATCCTTGTAGATCTGCATAATGGTCTTTGGGAATCCACACCAAAGTTTATGGACGACCTTGATGGAAGTCCTTTTCCAGTTTCAAGTTGGTATGGCTTAAAACGTTATTTAATGCTGTATTCAAGTTTACCATTGGTTGATGGAAATTTAATAAAACTTGTAATGAGCTCTGCAAATATTGCTTTTGCTAACACAGACTGTGGTGTGCCTTTCTTTGTTAAGATAAGAGAACATTGGCAACCAACATATTTAGGATTCTATGAGGACACTGAACACAAAGTGAGTTTTGACACAATCCATTTGAAAAGAATTTCAAACCAGTGCTCACATCTAAGTGGGTTGGTGAGCTTATTTAAATCAAAAATTGCATCTCCTGTTGCACTAGATGCTGTTGTAGTGTCTACTAAGTTTTCTTATGAATTAAAAGATGTTGATGCATTTGCTTGGAGGAAGACTACACAGTCAAATGAGTTCTTATCAATAGAAGGATTTGATGTCAGAAAGCTATTGGAACTTCCTTTTGGTTCTGAAAAGAATCCCATACAAAGTGTGCTCCTAAATACTATCTGGCCAAAGTTCCGTGAGTGTGCTATAGTGGAATCTTCTACATTTTCTGAATATGATCCACTCATGGCTCCTACTTGGACAATTAGCCTCAAAATGAGGGAAAGTTTCAATTGTCAATTATCAGAAACCATTAGTAAAATTATGGACTTATTGGATAACAACAACTTGCTTATGGATACTCTTGGGCTAAGCAAAAGCTTGGGGTTGGTGAACCCCCTCCATAAAATCACTGAAGCTCCAATAACTATATCTAAACTTGTCAAGGCTGCTATGGGACAAAGTAAACACATGTCTGATTTTAAAGGGCCCATAGCTGATGAGCTACTCATGCCTCTACTGTACTATGTATTTCCTGATGCAGTTGATGACAATACTTTCAACTACCCTGAACAGCTGGAAGTAGAATTTAAACAGGTAAAATGTTAACATGGTTTCATAATAGATGGCGTTAGGTGTGGTATTCTACACATTAATTAATGTAATGGAACTAATGTAAGTTTGCCATTTTATTTTTTCAGGCAGATGGAGAGCAGAAGTTGTGCAGTTATGTGAAGACGAGTCCAGAGGGGGGTCTGGTATGGCGCGTGTCGGTGACTGCTGCGCGGCTTTTCGATGCTGGTGGTTTGCCCTACTTGGCACATCTATGGTATGAGTTCTGTCAGGAACTCCAATACCGGTGGGAACATCGTATTCTCGTACCAGGGTGAGTGTTTATGATTATATTTTTAAACACATTGGACAACATTCTTTGGGGATTAAAAATATAGTCAAGAAAAGCCACGAAAAAATTAAAATTCATATAAAACATTTTATTTTCCTTTGATAATAAATAAATATTAGTCATGAATAAGTCAAGGCAATTAAACATGTTATTAAGAACTAGGTGGGGGCCGCACTACTAAGGTGACTGCAACGCGACGGCGAATTTGGGAATAAAGTAAGAATAAAAAAGTTAGACAAAAGACAAAGCAGATTTCTTGTGCACATCGAAACAATAAAATTTTCTACAAATAATAAAATAATTTGTCACATTATTTAAAACAGTTCTTTATAGCATAGTGTCTTTTGCCTCACCTTAATAGAAAGCAATTGTCATGCCTATGGCTAAATTATTCTTAAATATGGGATCTTATAGAATAATAAAATATGTTTGGTACATAACATTATTATACTAAATAGCACCATTTTGGATGAGGTTTAATAAAAATAAAACATTTGGCCATTTTCAAAGATTACATGGGACATTTAATTATTGTATTGATTTTATGTTACATGTCCTGTACTATTGCACCTCTGGAGTTTGTTGACATATACATAGATTTACATTAACTATCGCTAGAACAAGATTCCCAAACTGGAATAGAATGTGCAGTTGATCAACTTTTACACTGGTATTCACAAGTGACCTCTTGCTTACTGCTTATGTCATTTTTCTATCATAAGACCTAGATAAAAAAATATTTACAAATTACTAACTAACATAAATCTTGTCCGAAATAAATATATGCACCACGAAATTTATTAACATTGTAATATTATACAACACAAATTAGTGGTAAAAAAGAGCAAACACCCTGTGCTCAAAATGCAAACAATTTTATTATCAATCTACAAACAAAGTTGATATTATTCAGAATTATAAAGTCAATGGAAAGGAAATATATTTTGACTAGTCCTCACTAACCAATGGTTATAATTTATTGTTTTATAAAAATATGTTACATGTTAAAAGGACTAACAGTATAAATATTTATTGCATTCACATAGTATTTTGTGATAATGAAATTACAATATTTTAATTAAATCTATCTTTAACATAGTTTCTACATTACAGCATAAATACTACCATTTACAGTTCTTTAACCTAAGGATAGAAGTTATTGTATGTACTGAAATTAAGTACAAGTAGTACAACTATCGTCACGTTTTAAAGGTAACAATATTATTACGAAAAATTAATATTTTAACGGATACCGGACACACTGGCTCTGACCCGCGAATCGGCTACAGTGCGCGTGCGCACGTCGCTTGTTTTTTTTCTCATGGCTATGTCGGCGAGAATGTCGGTGGCCTTTCCGGGCTTCATGACTGCACCACGAGGTATTATAGCCCTCGGGAGCCCTTCGCGTAGGCGAGGAGCGTCCTCGACATGTCATATCTCCCCGCGGCGCCGGCGTGTCCCTTACACGCTATAAAGGTACTAATCCACTCCGAGTCGTCGGGTTTCGTGCCATGTAAATATCCATGTCATGATCAGTCCAGTTGTCGGAAGTGTCACAGTATCCCATACCTATAGAGCCGACGCTGTACCTGCTGGCTGGTCGGGACCTTGATCGCGGCCTTCTCCGGGATCCTGCAGTTCCGCCAGTGGCTCCACCGGCTGCACCACTTAATGATAAACGGGAGGCACGTTCTGATGCTGCTCCTAGTGACTGTCGCGATTGTCGGAGATCTAAAATTTAATACATTTTCGATATTGTTACTGGAAATTGTAATATTGTACAATTCGATGTAGTGAAAAAATAAGTAAAAGCCGGAAATGAAATGAAGAGGTAATTCAAAGCGATAGTGTAACTTACCAGCTCGAGATCCTAGAAGGCTACTAGGGTATCCTGGCACTCCGTATCGGCCAGAATGTGAATAGCTATGCTGTGATTGACCATCAGCTAGAGAACGTGCTCGTCCAGGACGACCTGGTAATGGGTCCGGAGGAGCTGGTTCAGTATAGGAACGTGCACGCGGGATCGAACGTGCGCTATAAGCCGACACTTGATCCCACTCACGCTGCTTTCCAAAGGCGCCGATCGTAGCAAGCGAAGAGAGTGGACCGCTGGGGCTCGGGGTGCCGGTGAGACCTCCGCAACAAGGGTTGGGCATCTTCTCCGGAGCTTGTGTATGTAGACGATGCACGGTGCGAGATCGACGTCGCGAAGCCGCGGCAAATACTAGTACTGCTACCACTATTGTACCACAAATGGCGGCACTGGCTGCAATCGTGATCTTATCCATATTGGAGGCAGCAGCGGAAACGGTGCGTACCTCTCGGCATTGGGAATACGGCACCGTTTCTGGACTGACGTGAACCTCCTCCAAGGAGATCACGCAGACCACTATACATTCCTGAAAAAATACAATATGTTTATTTAGTATTTTATGTATAGTGTTTTGAACGGGATGCGTTGATCTCTATTTCGACAACAGGCAGATTAACTAAAAATCGCGGGTTACTCACGTAAAAATAGTTAAAAAAGCTGAGCTAGTTTAGAACCACAGAGGGATACTTCCTCATGAGCAGCGATGTCAGTAGGCTGCGCGACATCGTGCAGGCTACTGACATCGCCGTGAACGCATACGCTGCTCATGAGGAAGACCCGAAAGAAGAAGAATTATTAGTTAATTTAGTGTGTCTCACGATAGTTATTATAAAAACAGGCAGATGGATATTACAGACGTCAGTAGTTCAACCTACCCATATCTGTCACTTTAAAATATTTAAACATCCTTTTCTTTTGAAATAAAGCAATTAATATTAACTGTACGGCTCCTATTCGTCGTACCGTACTGTTTTGTATCCTATAAGCCTTCCTCGATAAATGGACTATCCAACACAATAAGAATGATTTAATTCGGTTCAGTAATTTCCGAACCTAAGTGTAAATAATTATGAATACTATACACACCTGAGATGGAACATTTTTAATTTTGAACTCTCTTTCGCTGGCTTCCAAAGGTGGTCCTTGCTTAAAGCTTTTGTCTCCGAAGAGTCGATAAACGACGCGGAAGCCGAGTATATTAGCAACGTCCGAGTCCCATTGAATGATAACAGAATTATCTTGCCTGTACGCGTTTTTTACGATAACTTCATTGGAATCATCTACTTTTGGCTTTTGTTGCGGAAAACTCATAACAAGGGGGGGACGCTGGTGAGGAGCATGGCGCCAGGTGGGTGCGGCTGGTCGGACTGAGGGGATGCGGCTGGGGCGTGCGGTGCTGGTAGTGCTTGTGGTGCTCGAACTTGGACTTTGAATGATGGCTGGTTTGGTAGGAATATCTATATTGTTACTTATTTCTGTTTCGAGTGGTGAAGATGTACTTGTTGTTGATGGTGTGGCGGCAGTAGTTGTTGACGTGGTAGTGATGGCCTGACTTAGTTTCCATTCGTTCAAATCCTTCACAGTTGGTATGGCTTTTTCTGTTGTTGATATAGATATATCGTTATCGCAAACTAATTCATTTGGCTCAAAACTATAAAAGCCACGTTCACGGAAATGCGGTGGATTGCCGCAGAATTGCGGGTTTCTTTCTCGTGATGTTACTTGTAATTCGCCATTTCGAATCCATTCTATAATCCAACGCAAGCGACAATCACAATTTAGGAATCGCCCGCCTAGACTGAGACCTCGAAGAGTTTGATTGAGATGAGAAAATGCTTCCTCTGGCACTGTGGGCAAAGGATTACCATCTAATGCTAACAAAGTTATTGATGGATTGTTAACGAAAGCATCCACTGGTAACTTATTTAATAAATTGAACCCGATATCTAATACTCTTAAATCGCTCAATGTCCCTATTGCAGCAGTCGGGAATTCAGGAAGCAAATTGTTTAAAAGACTGAGAGAACTGAGCGTGCTCTTTATTCCAGCAAACGCATCATCTCTCAGATAGACAATGAGGTTTCGTTCTAAGTTTAGAGCAGTGAGTGAGTCCAGTCCCTCGAAAGTTTTACTACCATCCGGTCCTGGAAGTTCTCTGATACTGTTTTGCGATAGGTCAAGAAAAGCTAAACTATGAAGGCCTCTTATACATTCGGGGACAGTTTTTTGTTTAGTCCCTTTTAAATTTAGATTTTTTAATGAGTTTTCTAATCCAGTGAGTGTTTGGGGTTCTAACGTAACATTGTTGTCAGACACTTTTAGTGTTGTGAGCTTACGAAGAGTGATGAAAGAATGACTTGCAATGTGAGAAATGCGGTTTTTAGATATATCCAATAGAGAAAGATTAATTAAAATTTTTAGGGCCTTCACAGGAACTTCAGTTAGTTCGTTATCTTGCAGGTTTAAGTTTTTAAGATATGGGCCTTGTCCTCGGAATGCGTCATCTTCTATTCTTTTTATTCCACATCCAGATATTTGTAAGTTGTGAATTTTAAGATTTGCGAACATGTTATTGGTGAGGACGGGTATGCTTGAATTGTTTATGTAAAGTAGATCGATAACAATATTTCGTGTGCTCATATTTAGAGCTGACAATAACGTCGGGAAGTCAACCTGCGGATTTAAATAAAAAAACATAGTTAATAAAAAAGTCTGAACTAGATAAATGATATGAATCGTGAAAAAAGATAAGTGAGAACATTACCTGATCACATTGGACTGACAAATCCCTCGCTAAATTATGTGCACATATACATGCGGCTTGTAACGTTGGCGCACCCTCCCACGGACATTGTGTACGGGCGCATTGAGCCGTTAGCATCAGCGACATTGAAAATAACCATAGTCTTGGATGTGTATGCTTGGATTCTCCCTGAAAATAAACAAAAAAGATGAAATTAATTAATCTTCAATCTTCTGACAGTTAACATTGTAGGAATATGATTAGCTGGCGGGACCACCAACATCATGCGTCAGTGTTTTCCTATAGTGGAAATTAAAAATGAAGTAATAACTAATAACCCGAAAAAAAAATTCACGAAATACAAAAGTACATAGTATACATTCCCATTGTGACAATCAATTAGCTTGATCACATTTGTACAAACTGATACGCCCGTAATAATGTGTTGAACTTATCGTGAGGTGTAGCAATAACTATACAAAGATATCACCTTCGAAAGGTTTCTAATGGTAGACAGACATGGAAACAATCAAACTGTAATTTCCTATTTGCTGGCTGTTGTGTATCTACGCGTATACTTACTCAAACATGTACATATAAATACATTGAAGTATATGAATACGAGTTCAATCAAGTGAATAAGAATTTGAGAATAGATCAATTAATTGTTTTTACGCCATTGTTTTGACAATAAATTGGTTAGGTTGGTGCATCTGTTGAAATAGGTGATGGTAGTTTAAATTATATTTCACTATGTAATTTAAAGAAATTGAAGTATTCTGGGTAAGTATTCCGTGATAACTTTGAAAATGGTTGATACTCATTGTTATCAAAATTGGAAGATGGGTACAGTAGGTTTACTCAAATATAGGGAAGGCTTGTGTGTAAGTACTTATGCTCTGAGTGTTGGAGTCTATAGTGTATGATAGATGGGTTGTAATCAAGCGGTGCACAGACCGTTGAAGAGAATTGCAGCGTGGCGGCCACGGACTACTAGCCCGGAACATCTGGCTTTCCCTGCACTTTTCTTGCTAATGTGCTGCAAAGACAATCCAATCACTATAATCATGTAATTGAAACCAAAAGCTCTAAGTTAAGAGTATAATTAATAATATTACCGATTCTACCGAACCATTGAGAAGCCATAACTTGTAATCAACACACACCACGTTATGTCAGTCAAATATTTGATGTGTGGACGCTTGCACAGCCAACGTTTGCGGACGTCCGAAATAATCGATGAGACAAACATTAGGCTTCGGTCCGATTAAATTCCTATCATGCTCACAATGTTTATGTGTATTGTAATGGAGATCTTGTTAGGCGTTTTATTACAAACCATAATAATGTAGATGTCGTAGTCAACTAGTTAAATAGCCGTTCAACTAATGGCCTCCCCTATTAAATAAACGACATCTTTTCTTTCTTTTAGGGCCGCAGTGGTAACCCAACCGAACCTTCTATACTGGAACAACTAAATCTGATGACTGTCGATTCGCCCTTCAACTTGGTTTACCCAGTCATTCAGGCTGTTAGTTGAACAGTTAATTAACGTGTTGATTGAATAGATGCTTAGACATGATAGTTTGATGAAACAACTTTACAAAATGGTTTGTTTTCTAGTTACAGTGTCTAAAGGTGAATAAAATATTACATCATGTACCTAAAAGTGAAAGTACAAACTTCAATAACCAAACTGTTGTAGTAAGACTGGCGAACTTGTGGAATGCTTGTGTTTTGATGTAAGTCCCACTAGCCTATTTACATAAATTTGCCAGTCATCCGATTTCGCCGTTAACGGTACTGTACGCGCGCGACGGAGAAGACTCGACGCGGTCGCGACTGCCCGTCAGTTCACTTTCTCATGGCCTTTGCCTTAGGAACTACCAGAAAGTAGGATTCATTTTAATAATTGTAAATGAATACACAAACAATTTAATTTGGTATGGTTATATGTGTGTAAATATTTGCCATTTGAATGTAGTTATATTATAGTTATTAAGATACTTTGAGCTAGTGCAACTAAGCCAATATTATATACGTTTCTTTGCGGATTCCTGCGCGTTGATGATAGTACCTATATTAGGTGCCGACGCGTACGCATACGTTGCTAGAAGGTATGCAATGATGGCCTGTATTCACTTAGCGCCAACATTACGGTTATCATGCGTTATGTAGTAGAGTCTGTGCGGAAGTATGTGTTTAGTATGCGAGCAGTTATATTAGTAAACATGTAGTGTTACACAAGTACTGCTGACCTAACTACACGTCATTGTGTTTCTTATCAAATGTAAGAATATTAGCTCAGCCTCAAATGTGTTAGGGTTGACGACATTACGAAATAATTGTACATCAATACAAAATGTATATCATATTAATTATACAAATATGTATCAAACCCATGACTTCAATTTTAACCGATTGAATTAAACCTTACTGTTCGGTACATAGATTGGCTAAACCATTTGTAAGTTTGGAAAGTTTTCTACATAATATTATGTTAAATATTATTCAAAAGCTCCAAGCAGGTGTCTATCTGCCTATTCGTTTCACCACTTTCTACAGTTACATATTTGATATATTACTTAATTAATCAATATAACAGATATCTTTTAGGTTCAAAAACACATAAAAAGTCAAGTGTTGAGTTGTGATTAAATTTTAGTTCATCGGTTCATAGATTGTTTAGCAATAACTAAAATGTTCCCAAATGCTTTTAAACGAGTTTCGGTAAAAAAAAATGGAATTGTAACTAATTTGAGCTTGGGTACTTAGATTTTTAGGCTGTTTATTAAAAGCTACAATTTAAGGGTATTCGTCGTCCTCAGATACAGAAATGAAAATATTTGAATTTAGGCGTTTAGAGTTAAGATATTTTGTTTTGCTATCAAAACGAAGCAACGTTAATTCAATCACTTCGCAGGTTTATTCGTTGCGAACGGTAACAGTTATGGCATGTGGTCATTATTTTACAATGCTCTTATAAATGTGCGGCCATTCATACTTTTGGGTTGAGTTAAAAGTTTCGTATTGTTCGTGGTTACAAAGTGTAAATAATAAATAAACAGGCTCATTTATGTAAAGGTCTCATTCCGTGTCAGGTGGTGTCAGTTAATTAAGCTAAAATAATTCACCAGTTGTCGAGCACTCAGTTTGAGTGACAGATCGATTAAAGTTTCCCTAATTTGAAATCAATGTCGCCGTCGCCGCACCTCGAAGATATATTTTATAGAAATTATCTCGACTGCTGTTCCTCACCTGTCAACCCAGGAGCAGGGCATTTAATCTTAGATAAAATCTGTTTAATCTGTTGATAATTTAGTAAATAAATAAAAAAAATCTGATTCCTGGGCTTGGGATATTTTTAAATATGTTTTTTTGTTGTGGGTATACCTTTTTCAGATTGTCTGTATGTATGTATCCTATAAAATACGTCCAAGTAAAATACATTTTTTTTTGTAAATTGAGTATTTACCTAGAGTACCTAATTTCAGTATTACCTAATTAGTCGCTTATATAATAAATTTTTCTTCAAATAAATTATCATGTTAAGTCATTTATCTTGTTACTGCTTTGCACCATGAAAGAAAGAAAGAAAGAAACAAAGAAAAATAATTTATTCGCCACCAGACATGGACCACCGAAAATTAACACACAAAATAAACATTGAAAATAAAAAAAAATAAAAAATGAAGGCAAAAAATTATTATAAAAAAGCAAAATAAAAGAAACAGGGTGGCAGGATGTCCACGACGAAAGGGCTCGCACACTCAGTGTAAGCTGGGCACAGTAAGTACCCAACCATGCAAGAAACACTACGCACAGTGAGCAAAAACTAGCCGTCACCTCGATAGATGGCGTTGGCATCGAAATAGATCGCGCTATCGTTTCGTTACACGGCGGAGTATATAGTCTCTGACGGGCCGCGTTCAAGTCGATCTTTCCAAAGGTTAACGGGGAATGATGATCGGATTGGACTTGCGACTGCATGATGTCCGCTGCCGAATGTTACGCTTAAAGCGGGCTAAATCCTACTGACCCCAAAATTTTTGAAGATCCTATTTTCCTAAATATTTAAAGAATATTAAGTACAGTAAAAAAATTAAAGTGCAATAAGTGGTATTTACTTGCATAATTATTTACAATTTTAAACTACTTAGATACAAATTTTGTTTATAGTAACTAACTGATTCATATAAAGTATATACATATAGAATAAAATATACTTATTTTTTTAATTATTGTTATAAATAATAACTTTTACACCGGTTTTTTTTTCTATACTATGGTAGAGCTACGTCATTCAATGTCGTCGGGCGCTAAAAATTAATTCAAGACACGATCGGTATTACTCGAGACTGTAGGTAGAGGCTCTTCTGGCATTACTTTAATGATCTACAATATTTACATTTCCAAAATAAAACTTCAATCAATGTTAAACGATAATATGGTAAGTAAGAAATGTCTTGGGAATCCGTGTAAGGTTATTTATTTATCTATCTCACTGATACTGGGTTTGATAACAAAAAGTAAGGTACCTATTAAAACTATGTTGTAAATAACGAATAATGTGGTCACTTAATACAACTGTTTAAAAATATAACAGAACTTAATACTGATGTAAAACAACGCCACGTGGTCGTACTTGGAAGTAGTTTTCTCTCGTTTGTAATTAAATAAATATTCGTAGTTTCTGCCACTTTTTATACTTAATGTAAAATCGTTAAAAACGTTTTATTTCGAAGTTTTTCTATTTTTAAAGCAATAATTGCTAAAACATTCTAAATCCGATTTTTAGTTTATGTCCATTTCTTATTACAGTCCCTAATATATGTTTATCCAATACTCCATCTTAACTATAAATCACTCTGCTTCCGCTGTTTATGGCAAAATGATTATGTCAATAAATTGTGGAAAAACCTGCGGGTCGTGAAAAGTGTGCTAGTTCGAGGCCGACCGATGATTAATACTGCGTCAGACTTTGTATCGGCCGCGATCAAATGGATTAGGTGCTTAATGCAAAACAACAGTAAAAAATCTAGTCTTTTGTGTGAAAATGATTGATTCCATGCAGGTTTCATACAAACTATTCAGTGAAAAATTTTCACAACGTATTTCGTTACATTATTTATTGCTTCTTGCACTTATAAAATATTTGAAGTAAGAGTAGTTAGCGGTCGTTCAATTAG